TGAGAGCATTTATTCCCCTCAAAACGATTTGCTTTTAAAATATCGAATTCGCACATTATGGCTTATAGGCAACGTTTATTTTATTATGTACTTTATGCAATTTGATAAAATTTCATGAAAATTGAGATTTTACTCTCAAGGGGGGTTGTACGTGTTCCGTAATGCAGGATCATTTCATGAGTAGTGGAATTTTGCTACTGAACAGAAGTCTTTTGTGGATGTAACGGAGAATTCATCAAATGTATGACTCGTAGAGTATTGGCAGCATATTCCGTTGACGATCCGAATGAGTTGTTCCATCGCAAACAAGTTTGAAGTGCAATATAATCGTGAATTGCGATAAATGAATTTATCATATTTATATTTGAGCTGCTTGAAATTGTCCTCGTATGCTTGCAATTCTCATCATTGAAGTGCTTATCCTAGTAAGAATGTTTCTTATCGTAACACATAGTGTATATAGCAGAACTCATCTTGTACACATCACAAGAAATGTTCCTAGAGGCTCATTGAAATCGAATCCTTCTCATAATGATAATGTATTCTGAAACTGAATGAGAGCAATTTTTCACTGTGAAATGGACAAGTTTATGAGGGCAATGATTCTTGTCGATCGTTTTGCATCTATAAAAAACTCTGCATCATATTGTAGATCATCAATTTTCCACAGAAAAACTCATGTTTTTTAATCGTATCCCATAAAACGATTCTCTGACTATAATTCACAAATTTAATAGGTTCTTTTGGAAAATTGATAGCATTTTCCAGAGTCCTATTGCCGAGAAATTCAGTGTTGATACTAACTAGCAAACCAAAAATCGATGATTTCAAGACTTGCAAAAGTTTTTGCCTAGAAATCGAGAAGCCATTGTCGTTAACAAAAAACGATACCAACAAAACAATTGCAATGAATATCGTTTAAAAAGCATCATCGAAACGATAAACGGAACTTGCAAATGATCGCAGTTATTGCTTTCTCAATTTTATTGCGCTCAAAAAACAAACTCATTCGCTGGTTTTCGGATTCAACTTTTCGTTTCGCTTCTCTCAAATCCGCGATTTATCCATGATTGGTGGGTCATTTGATTTCGACTTGTAGACCATTGAAATTTCAATAAAAATTTTATGTGAATGATTGTCTGTTGAAAGGATTGTCTGAAATCATTCGTTTGTTTTTTCGTTTTTGGATTCTGTCTCATCTCGAAATTTGTTGTTTTTCGAGTGTCTGTCAGTCACTAAGCGGACAATGACGGAATTGTTCGAAGCAGAAGCATTGATTTGCAGCGCTTTATCTTCAATCCACAGGCTTCGTCTTCTTCGGAGCCTGTATGGACTTCAATTCAATTCTTCAACACAACTTGATACGCAATGAAAAATGTCTCATCACACACACAAAAAACTCCTAGTTGTTCGAGCAGAACACGCATGCGCTGGATGCATTTTCCTTCTCTGGATGGGATACATAGTAGTTTGAGTATGGCTAATAGAAGATACAAGTGTTTTGTGACTCATCATTTGCAAATATTTTTTTGCTTCAGTATAAGACATCATCATTATTTACGACGAATAGCCAAAGTGCTCATCACACACGTTTAAGATGATGCGTGTGGATCAATAGAATTCTACTCATAAATTGATGAAGTCCAGATGCTTGGCTATTCATTATGTTTCGAATAAATGCGNAAAAGTGATTTTGTTGCTCTACTCCCTAGACTTTCAATCACCTGCTAATTGTTCAATGATCCGCCTCTAATCTAGAGCTTTTCAATTCGTTAAGTTGCACTCAAAAGTGCATCTACTCTCACATGTTTCCTAATCTGCCTAATCCTTATCAACACTTCGTCGTTCATCTCTCCATCATGACAAGTCTCACTGTTCTCAGTCTCTATCATGACACCTGAAAACAACATTCAGCGATTTGAGGAGTCTTTTCGCTAAACCTTATGCTCGAAGCACGGAAGCGCGTTTAGCAATACAAATCAAATTTGCTCATTTGCGTTTGTTCATTACGAATTCTGTTAAGTTGATTGTTTTGCTCATTAAGAATGGACAAGCGCTCGCTCCTTATTTGGTCATTCGTGCAGGTGCTACTGATTTAATTGAATGCCACATTTGAATAGCACTATTGTTTTTGATAACAATCAACTAACATACAATCTTTCGACTTAGTTTGTTCATTTCATCAACATTGCTCCGGGTTTTTATGGCATTGTTTGAACACAATGCCGAGTGAAAAGTAAGTGTTGGCAAAAGCCTAGAGCATCATTTTAACATAAGTAAACGTGAACAATTTTCAGATCTGAATGGTCAGAGGGGGATCACATTGCTGAAAGCAAATGGCGAATGATTGAATTAGCAAAATCCATGGTCTTATGAATACAACAATTGTTCTGCAGCTCATCCTCATAGATATGCGTTTATTTGACATCTTGCATATGCACATTTTTCACAATTATTTTCAGATATGTTATTCATGAATGTCATTCTGACAAACGGGCCTGTGAATTTACGTAATTGAGCTTATAAATGACGCAGCTATTCGATCGTGAACGATATGATTAGTTGCATCAACATTTTTAGCCATTTTTATCTGCATGCACTTGCAGGTCATTCACACAAGCACTAGAATTTCTCGTCATCTTGTGAAGCGTTCGTGATGAACTTGTTTCACCAGAAGCATAAAAGTTTTAATCTAACAACAGGACATATCCAAGTGCTAGGTAAGAACCAAAGTAGAGACCTAAGGAATCGTAGGGTTTTCGACCTAAAAAAGTAACATGAAGAAAAGAATCGCAGAAAACGAAAAGCTAGATACGAATGAAACGTTCCGTTGGTGCATCATCAATGAAGTTTGATCGCAAGTTAAGTAATCGTTTGAAGTAATCTCTTTGAAGATAAGTGATAGTAGAGGAGCATTAGCTCAATATGACGAATGAACGAAGAACGAAATGAAGGAAGGAAATGATTTCAAATGAAGATTCAATTGTTGTTTTAGATCAGCAATTGCTGATTGAAAGAACGATGAAAGGAGTGAATCTGAATTCATCACGACTTCCGTCATTGTGAGGTTGTGTTTGTCAGAAATCCTGCTTTCATTTCGATGTATCGTGCATATAGATGATTATTCGAATCACTGTTATCATTTTCGATCAAATCCCTAAGTGAGCGGATGAATTCTCCGACTAAAAATTTTCGTTGAGCGTTAGCTAAGCGCCTCCCTCTTCATTCTGCTCGTTCTTCGTTTTGAGTGAATGACTAGTTGTTGTTCCAACGACTTTAATCCAACTTTATGCTAGAATCTATAGCAAGGCAGGTTCTCCTATGGAATCTGTATGGAGCAATATGAGCTGATGCTCTAAAGCTTTTAGGCAGTTTCGTTGCTTTTGGAGAGGTATCATTAACAGCTTTCATCATTGAATGTGAAATGGAGAACGTAAAGTGTAATCCCATCACATCGATGTGAAATATGGATAAATGTTGGAATTCATGAAGTCATAGATTATCTCATGTAGAGCGCGTTCAATTCATATTCGTTATAGATGGATCATAGTCCACTCGATTCCCTTCCTTGACCATTTAATCATATTACCTACTGAACCATTCAGTTTTTGTCGCATTTCCAAATGGATTCGCCATATTTCATAATCATATCGAACAGGAGTGTTTTGTTGTGAACCAGTTATTTCAGTTCCGTGCGTCACTGCCTTATTCTGACATTGCTGTTATTGTGCCTTATCATACCAAGCAAATATCATGTTAAGATTTCGGTGATCGTTTCGCTGTATCATGCGATCAAAATGATAGATTTCATAACGATGGTGTTTGCCTTTGGATGTCCGCTCATCTATTATTAACAATAGTATTCGCTGTTCGTTCAGTCTTATATCCATATTTATCACAAACTAGCCGTTGAGGTTCTAAACGCACGAACTCATGTGTTATTCAACGCATGAAATCAATGAAATCAGTTATAGGCCTATGCTTGATATTTCGTTTTTTTTCCACTCACTTTGTCGCCGTATTCTGAATCGCCATTCTTTTAAATTACTTGCGTTCGAATAGAATTGCACGTTAAACAGGGATTATTGAGAATTTACATCGTGTCGTTTATCCTCAATTGAGCGGATGCTAAAGCCGCTTGAGTAAAAGATTTGAGTGGCACATCGTGTCTAATTCTTTGAGTCTGTTGAATATCACTCATCTTAACTTTCAATGAAAACTTTTTCCGTTAAGTGGGAAAGTTTTTCTCCATCGAGGAAATCAAGATCAGACGTGATACCGAAAAGTTGTCGAATGCAAAATCGATGATTCTTAGATGCTTCGTAGCTTAGTGCTTCGCAAGAGCGATTACAGATATCAAAGGTGTGCAGATATCACACCAGTATGCCTGAGTCAGTTGGGAATTGGTGCGGAATATTTTGTAGCTTTCGTTTTCTTGCTAACAATGAGGATTGTCTTCGAGCAAGAAAAAATTTTGTTGGCCAGTGAAACGAGATATACGTACAACGAAAACTACTGTGAAGATAACCCCCCTTATTCTCTCTCACTAAAATGTGTTTTAACTGAATATAAATAAATGTCATTTTATTTCAATAATGAATGTGGAGTAATACGTTACTGACCAGATCCAACGCGTCGATATTGGTAGTTCTTAATATGAATATTCAACCAACAATCCAACGATATTCTTTCAGAAGTCTCGTGATCACCACTCGCTTCCAATTTGATCAATCGACCACAAACCTCATTCAATCATCAAATCTTGATGAAATCTTAATACTGGGTTGGCCTCATCCGTAAACGATCGCAGATCTCTTCTCCTTAAAGTAGTGTGCCAATCAACTACTGTACGATCAATTGATTCATTCACTGATTCGACTTCTCTTCTGTTTTCAACGAACCTCGCGAAAAGTTTCCCTATAATCTGCTGCTGTGGCTATGTAAATACAGTGCCATATCATAAGTGGATAGTAACTATATTGCACTCGTAAACTAAAACTATGCAAGAGGATGATTATGAGGGCTTGGAACAAGACGATCTGCAGTGCTTTAGCGTTCAAGAGAACACATTCGAGTATGAGGCATTCGACTGGGAGAATTTCACCGCAGACGACTGCAATTGCTCACAACCGTTGCATTCCTATTTGGGTGTTTGCGAGGGTATTTGTGAACCGGTCAAAGCGGAATTTCCACCGTTTACCGAAGTGGCGTTACCGGCCGCTCTCTATTTGATGGTTTTTATGATTGGAACGATCGGTAATGCGTTGGTGATCTTCGTGGTGAATCGTTTCAAGCGAATGCGCAATGTGACGAACATTTTTCTGGCCTCTTTGAGTACAGCCGATCTGTGCCTGATTTGGTTTTGTGTACCAATTATGGTAGGTTCCGTCAGAAGTTTAAGTTTGAACATTAGCTGTTCGAATCTATCAAGTTTTGCTTACTGAATTATTTGTTAAACACTCACTTCATCACTGTTTTTTGTACCTCAAATAAACTTATCTAGTTGATTACCTTCTCGTTCACTTCCTTATCGACTCTTCTCGATACTCTTGGCTCAATATGCCTTTGCCAACCCGTTCGTATATCATCGACTGGACAGTGAATAGTGTATATTTACTAGTGGACAGTGAATAGTGGTTATTATATTTATCGAATAGTGTATATTTACTTTGCTTGATTGACTGGCTAAGGAGCCTCTTTGATCTCCATCTTCGATTAAGTTTTTATCATTCGGCGGATGAAGAATAGACGACCTATCTTACTATTTCAGTATGTCATTATAATAGACTATGTTAGTCACAGATTCCACTTAGCAAGTTTTCATTGCCTTCTGAACTTTTGAAGTTATCTGTTCTCACTCTTTCTTCACTCAAAAAACATGTAATGCAACGTGCCATCCAAATCAACTTTACGTATCTGCATAAATTTTTCGATTTCATTTCAACGTGAAAATCAAATTAAGACGTAATTTCGTCATCACAATCCTCACACACCACAAACAGGCAACAAGACAACATCTCCATCAGCTTATCACTTCATTAACTTAATTGATTCCT